TAAAATTTATATACTTGCTTAAATATAGGTTGTATTCAAGTGTTGATAGATGGACTTCGGACAGTAGTGCCAATGCTACAGCTATAAGATGCGTCTTGGCTTTTTCCTGGAGTAAAAAAGACTTTTTTTTTTTTTTTTGACAAATCCTGTCTTTTCTTCCTCATGGCTATTAGCAAATGGTTTTCAAGTTTTTACATAACAGTGACTGTTTACTGTCTGCCATCTGCTGTGCAGTGTTAACATTCGTAACCGCAGCGGGTGATATTCCAGAGCGTACTTTGTGGATCATTCGAATATTAGCACCTGGGAACTGCTCCTATCTTTAAAATAATGAAGCATATGTAAATTGTTTAATCGCCATGCGCATACTGAACATTTCAAATAACTAGTTGCTGCTTTCCCAAGTTTAACATAAAAGTCACATCTCTGCCATATAGCTCAGAGTTGTTTTTCTCGTACCCTAAGACAAATTGTACCAAGTGCTACCTCTCGCTGTGACCAAAATAGTGAAACCTTGAACCATATATGAATACTGCAGTATTCATATATGCCGATATAACCTCGTAAAAACTCCACCTAGATTACACTTTTGATGCTAAGAAACAGAAATTAAGGCAGTCGTAAAACGTTTTATTTAGTCCTTGTAGAAAAAATCATCATTTTTCGTGATATTTTACTGTTAATATTAATTAGATATAACTACCAATTTTACTAGATTTACTAAGTGTTTTATTAGATATAGCTACTTACTTTACTGTTAGTAATTTTACAGCTGCTAAGTTATTTTGCTTTATTTTTTAGTGGTCGCTAGCTCAGTTTTTAAATAGCGGTCATTTACATCACCACTAAAACGAGTATTTGCCAATTCTATTTTGATCTCTAAAAAAGCACTTACATCTGCACTCTAGAGTGTGTATCGATCCGGTGCTTTTTAAAAATAGTCAGTCAATATTTATGCACTTCCACAGATTTTAGAGCTCTCTTTTTATTTATTTATTTATTTTTTTTCATGAGATTTATTTTTGTCTTTTCCCATAAATTTAGAAAATAATGGAATCCTTACCACGTACACTAAAGCACTAAAGAGCCAGAATATATTATAGCAAAAAAGTAAAGGTTAATTGATAAAAGCAGGCATGAGTCCTTTTTTCATTCGAGATAGAAATATTAAATTTGCGCCAAATATTTATATTTTCATAAGTAATGAAGGCAAAAGTAAATATTAGATAATTTTGAAATTAATTTTTTATTTAAATACAGGAAGAAGGACAACAAGAAAAAGAGAGATTAAACAAAACTTATCTGGACTTAAAACAAAAATTTAATAAGTCATGTATTTCTCTCTGATAGAAACAGAAAGTTGGCAATAATTGTTCGTACCCATTATAAGTTATTTCTGAAAGAGATTTTCGCGACAGAGCTCCACAGCTATTTATGTGATTTTATTTTCAGGGTTGCCCCAGAAGGAAGCTGGTACTCTAAAACCTTGCGACCTAAAGCGTTCAAACTAAATTCAATCATATTTTAAGAACAAAAAAGGGTTTGGTTTGGTTTTATTAGATTACGGCAAAGCACTCGAGGGCTGTCTCGCCTTAAGGGAGGGATGCCTTCGTTGAGGACTTTCTAAGGGAAACTGGCTCGTATACACGTTACACATGGGGAAAACCACGAAAGCGTCCATGCAGCCAGCCCGTTCACGGGATTCGAACTTCGGACCAAACTACCAGTGTTCAGCGACGTTACCGCTCGGCCGCTGGTGGGCCGAACAAAAAGGGAGATAATCTCTATATATCGCTTGAGAGTTTGAGTACCTTCCCTAAAAGGCAGACAAGCCTCTTCAGCCGGCAGTGCTGAAAATGAAACAATTAATTCCCTTGTTCACTCATTAACTTTCCATCTTTAAATCTTTATCTTTTTAGAGTGCTATTGGAAATATGATACGGCTTTAACTCTGTCTAGATCAGCAAGTCTCATCTGTTTTGCTCCATGTGCCCCTTTCACCATTGCTAGATGAACATCCCCGTCCTTTCAAAACTCGAAAGATACATAAACCTTTATTTAAATTTACATTATTTAGATTTTTTTTTATTTGTGTTTTACAAATTAAACTAAAAAGTATAGACACTCTTGATGAATACCGAAATTTGAATAAAAGTGTCTTTTTATATTCCTAAAGTAAAACTAATTACTTAACAGGTAAATGAAAGGCTGACAGCAATTCTCCCGGAAATTATGAAATTCCCTCAGGAAGGACTCCCGCTGATTGAGGACCCCCTGGTCCAGATAAATGTAAATCTAATCGTACTCAAGCAAAGTTTTCAGGCCAATATTTTACTTTGTTATCATCGTTGTACTTATTGCCTGATCTTTAAATTTGCTTTATTTAGTGATTTTTAACTATATTTTGTAAAAATATTCTTATAATCAACGGCTATGCTTCATCTATATCCATAACTATTTTTTCCTACAAAATAGACAGCTAAATGTATCTAACAGGAAGAGAAATTCGCAGTGTATAATTTAAACAACCTAATACACTAATAATACAGTTGCCATTATTCAACGGACTTCAAAGAATAATAAGAGTTTCTCCACTGAAAAATAACATGTGTTATTTAATATGAGTACTCGCGCGCAAATATATGTTCGTGGCACCATGTATAGTCCTCTAATACTAATAAATGTAAATTTAACAAACTACAAGAGAGAGCTTGAACTAATGCGTTGAGAAGTATGCATAATTAACATATACAATAGCGAGATTTTAATATTTTTCTTTTATAAACGACGGTAGGTATATTGCTATAATACTTCTGAATTTGGAAGGATCAGCGAATAATGTTTGCGGACAGGCGGTTGAGTAACACTGCCTCGATAATATTCGTTAATGTAAGAGTTCGCTAATGTTGTGCGCGAAAAATTGTAAAGAATTTCCAAAAAACTTTTTATTTGAATTATTTCATTATAAAATTAATGAAAATACATACAAATAAATAAACTTAAAAAGCTAAATTAAAAATTAGACCACGACAACTTGGAATGAAAATATGTCTGTCGAAGTGGGGGGAAAGCATACAATACAATTAATTAATAATGTTTTGATCTCACGAACACTTAAAGCCTCGCCATTAAGATCTAAAACATGTTTATGAAATCGTCGCTCAAGGCATAGGAATGTGCACCCTTTCCCTAAAGTGAAGTTTCGCACATTCTTATGCCACCCCCACTTACAAAAACCTCTCAACGCAAAGAGCAGATGCATACTTTTATGTCACTTCACTTGACAAAAATCTCCCACTGCAATGGGAAGGTGCATACTTTTATGTCACTTCACTTGACAAAAATCTCCCACTGCAATGGGAAGGTGCATACTTTTATGTCACTTCACTTGACAAAAATCTCCCACTACAATGGGAAGGTGCATACTTTTATGCCACTCAGCTTAACTAAATATTAAGCAAATTTGTGAATCTTTAAATGTCTTGTCGAGCCGGTGTGTTCTTTTTGGTAGCATAAAATGTAGGCTCTACGTAGAAGATAAAGTAGCGAATACTCGCTATGTCTTGAAAGAATAAATACTGCAGAAGAAGGTTTTAAATAACCTTTTTATTTAACCTAAACAGATGCACGCACTTAATGCTTAGTATTCACCCACACTTGTGGCTAACCAAATTAACAGAAAATAAAGCTGGAAATGCACAATGAATTAAGATGGCTAACGACTGGCTCCTTAGTTTAATCAAACGCTAAATCGTCTGCACACAACAAGGCCGAGCCTAGAAATATCAGTATAAACTGAAAGGTGTCTAACGCCGACTACAGAGCTAATTGCAAACATGCTGCATAAACTCCGAACTATCTCCGCTACTACTCTTTTCGAACTCTTGAAACGCAGCTTAAATACTGCTTCTGAAACACGTTTTGATTAGATGTCATTTAAAATTTACATTCCGACAGGAAACTGAAATCAGGAGGGAAAGGAAAGTCAAACTAAAAATATTTGGTTAGAATAAAATAAAGTCTTTTACAGTCTTTAGATCTTAACGGAGAGTCATATGGTTTATAAGCTTAGAATGCGTGTTCGGTTGAAACTTTCTTAATGAATCCTTTTTCTATTTTGAAAAGCATAACTGCATTTCATCTTTTGACAAGATCTATTTCTTAATTTATTTACTTTTGTTTTATATCTTTTAGTTAATTTCATCAGGAATCTGTTCAAATAATTGGGTAATTTTATATCATAACTATTATATTTCTCGTTTCCTTGAGTTGTGATGATGATTTTGCTAACCCACAGGAATTACCACACAGATATACAAAATTCTGTATTTATTTCTCTTTCAGTTAATAAAAAAATATTTACGTTTAACGAAACAGAACATTTATAATAATCCCATGTACACCAGAATGAGTGAAGCTGTACAATGTTCGAGACAATATTTGAAGCTGTACAACGTTCGGGACGTATGTTTTGATCATTATTCAGGAAATCATGGGCAGAAGAAGCGTCATCAACACTTGGATTGGAAGAAGGGGGTCATATCTGCCGGACGCCCGGCTCTACTCAGCCCTAAGTTCTTCTACTAAAACGCTACTAAAGATTTCCTTGATCGATTTCTTGTTGTGAGAATTTGCCGAAGACATTCTGTATGCAGACATGATTCGTGATCTTCAGGATTTACAGTAAAGAATCGTAACATTCATCGTAAATATAATTTCATAATAAGAGTACATTTTTTTCTTTTATTCTTCGAATAGCTGGACACTTGTTATTCCAGAACTGGTCGGGAATAGATGAATCTATCAATCATTTAGTTGGTCTCATAACAAAGAATGTTACTCAGGGTAGGGGGAAATGATATTACATCCGCGGGAAAGGAGAAAAGACATTTAAAAATTTCCGTGCTTTTCTTCAGTATTCAAGCACCGCTCCATGACTATAATAGCCGGTTCCCTTCCCCTACATTCTGCCGGCAGAGAGGCTAATTATAGGATACGACATGAGGCCTACTATACTTCTAAGGTATCTCATGGAACAAATGAAGCAAATATGGTAACCTAAACTAAAAGAAGAAATGTCTAAGTAGAAAACATAAGTATTTCTCAGAACATTTGAATAATTTAGATACGTTTGTAAGGATCTTAAGTTTTACTAACGTTTATTTTATTTTAAATCTTTACTATCACTTCTTATTTTCTACTTCCGGCCAGAATTATAAGCGTTAAGGTTTTTATGCAAAGTTTGTCTGGCGAACGCCAAGTATTTAAGTTGTGGCTTTTTGCCAAGCGAGAGAGAGGAAGCAGTGAGTCAAAGCAGGCCGCTTACCTTAGAAGTTACTTAGTTGCTGTTTGCCTTCCAGGCCAGAGGTTTTAATCCTCTTGATAAATTTTAAACGTATTGTAGTGTTCACAGTTCTCTGTACTACATACGCTTCCTGTTAATATAAGGCCAATCTTCCACGTCTATTATTCTAAAGTTAAATTAGAGTTTAGTTTTATTTTTATACTTTTACGTTTTGACCCCAAGTAGCGGGTCGGTGTATTCCGAAGTACGGAAGTCATTGTAAATAGAGAAAAATAAAGGGTTTGTATACCCTTCTTGTGTATCCTGTTTACTTCCCACAGTTTTTGAACATAGCTTTAGTAAGCTCTCTGTTCCGAGTCAGGTCCTTGCATGTTCCCGAAGAAGGTTAGAAGGAACATTGACCCTGATAGTGGCGCCCAACGAAGAAGACTAACCATGGCCGAGTTCAAGAAGAACCTGTGCTGCCTGCAGAAAACGGGTCAGAATCCAGAAATGCCAGCTGCCCCCTGGAAGGATTTGGTTACATCGTCCAGACCATGCGCGCTTCGATGAAACCAGAAGCAACATTTAATGGAAACTCACCCGTTAACCAGTTTTTTGGAAAAATTGGATGACCACTTCATGCTCTACCCGTGAACCCCGTCACGAGTTTCAAAAAGTTACCTTAGCTACCAAGCGCTTTGAGGGGCCCAAGCGCTTAACTGGTTCAAATGTATAGGCAGAAGTCTCTTGGGTCAAGCAGGAAGTCCCCCCTATACTTACGAAAATTTCAAGACTGCCCTACTAAAAGCCTTCCCTGTTGTAAGGGATCGTGCGAAATTAGAAACGGAACTTTTCAGTATATATCAACAAAGAATCGAAAACCTCTCGAGCTTATTTTTAAGAAAAATTCACGTTTTCAAACTCTTGTATGGAAACCGTCCGGATCCTGAAATAATTCAAGTGATTTTGCCGAGGTTACTGCCCCAAGTGCAAGACTTTATTGAATTGAGAAATCCGACTACACTGGAAAAGTTATTTGAGCTAGCAATCCAGTTTTGAAAGTAGAAGAACAGCGGACGTCGAAAGAAGACGCCAATATCAACAGCGAAACCAATTTGGTACGCCAAGACTACAGCAAACTCAAGCACACACGGCTACGGAGGCAAAGCGAATCAGTGGGCAAGGAAACCCGAGCATTCAAAAACAGCCGGGCGAACGTCGACAGTTCAATAGCAACCCAGGAAAAAAGTCTCAAGGCCAGTGGAAAAAGAAGGAAAGCATGGAAACAAAAAAGGATTTAAAAAAACTAAAACGGATTTCTGCTGACGGGAGGGTGCGGAAATCCGAAGGCCACGAAAACCCCTCTTCCTTCAAGTTAAATACAGTAATGGTGAGAAATTTGACTCTTCCGAAGATTGAAGAGTTGGTGAATAATATCCCAGCCACCGCACCCCTGGATACAGGCGCGCAGTTTTCCTGTGTGGCAGAAGATTTTTTTAGGAAGTATTTTCGTAAATACCGCATATATAATTCGGATAATACGACAGTGTTAGCGGCGCAAGGAGAACTATGTAAGTGCATAGACGCACAAGCAACACTGGATTTTAATGAAGCGTCCCTTAAGCTGACAATGAAACCGGTTCGTGGAGAAAAGGCTGAACCGCCAAGGTTAAATCTTGACCACCTGCCTAATGACGAGCAAGGAAGAATCCGACAAGTGATCTTTTGCAGGATCCGGCACGGTAGACACCGCAGGCACGAGCTCCAGAGAGGTGGAAAAACGACAAGTACAAGGGCAAGCCAGTAAGAGGCAGGAGCAAGTGAAAAGAAAATTTCCCCGCGGAAAAATTGAAGGGAGCAAGAAAAAGAAGCCCGTTCCAACCGTCCAGAAAAGAGAGTTCACGAACACCCAGAATGAGAGGGAGAATGACGACGTATGTGAAGAGAACCAGGAAATGACGGCAACTATAACCCGGCTCTAAAACGGAAGATCTACTCATCCGACAGGACTCTCCGCAGTAAATGTCGCCGAACTGCGGAAGGGCCATCAGCGGCGGAGGAAAGTTACAAGAAAAATTTGAACGGCCAGCACAGGTCCAGCAGGAACACGAAAGAAAGACCAGCTGCCATCAACGCCAAGCACAGACCAGACCGCCATCAAACGGCCAGACCCCTCGTGCTAGAGGAGAAAAGGGACTTACTCACGGGTGACGATTTAACAACTAGGGAAAAGAAAGATTTTTGATTGGTGTATTAATAAAAAAACTGGAAATAGAATTATAGTGTACTTTAGACCGTTTTCAAGAAGGAGGTTTTTTTTCACAACTATCTGCAATAATGTTAAAACTGGATGGGTGTGGTGTTTAAAATTTTTTTGTATGTTTTGTGTGGTGGTTGTCTTTCATTTTTAAGGTTTTTGATGTAGTTCTACCTGACGCCAAAAGAGTTAGCCACTTTTAACGATTTGGATGGTGTTTTTTCGCGGGTGTGTAAAGAGAGGTCTGGTAACGTTGTATAAGACTAAAGTGTTTTGTTTAAGAGTGGAAAACTAGAGCAAGAAACAATTCTTTTTGAGTGCTATGTCAATGGCTGTTAAATAGTCCCATAGATGAATAGAATGTTGTGAAATGTTTATGTGTGGTTACTTGCATTTCATTGTGTAAATTGTTAAAAAAATTACCCTCAGATCTCTGGAAGGAACGGTGATTTGAATAAAATATTTTTAAGGAGGAGATTAAATGAAAGTTTCTGTGTCTTGGGAGAAGCCATTGTAGAAAAGTACTTTCTTTTAAATTTCTTTGTTTTCTAGCGAAAAATGTTTGTACAAAGATTGGCCTCGCGTGTAGATTGCGAGCTAGCGAATTTTCAACAAGGTCCGTTTTTTAGACCTAGTTTCAAACTAATAACTCTGGCGGGAAGATTTGGGATTTAAGTTTTTACTAACGTTATTTATTTTAAATCTTTACTATCACTCTTATTCTACTTCCGGCCAGAAGATAACGGTAAGGTTTTTATGCAAGTTTGTCGGCGAACGCCAAGTATTAAGTTGTTTTTTTCAGCGAGAGAGAGGAAGCATGAGTCGAAGCAGCCGTACCTTAGAAGTTACTTAGTTTGCTGTTGCCTTCCAGCCAGAGGTTTTAATCTTGATAATTTAAACGTTGTAGTGTCACAGTTCTCTGTACTACATAGCTTCCTGTTATATAAGCCAATCTGCCACGTCATATTCTAAAGTTAAATTAGAGTTTAGTTTTATTTTATACTTACGTTTTGACCCAAAGTAGCGGGTCGGTGATCCGAAGTACGGAAGTCATTGAAATAGAGAAAAATAAAGGGTTTGTATACCCGGCTTGTGTATCCTGTTTACTTCCACATTTTGAACAAGCTTTAGTAAGCTCTCTGTTCCGAGTCAGGTCCTTGCATGTTCCCGAAGGTAGAAGAACATGACCCTGATAAGCTTAGCAATTTTTAATACAGTCTACCGTGCATTCCTGATCACTCCACGGTTGACAGATCAAGAAAAAAAAATTATAGTACACTCGGAAAGCTCTCGTTGGATACTGGATGAAAATAAAGGAGAAAGGAATCTTCTTGTGGAACTTTGCATATTCTCGAATTGGAACGCGCAGTCTCGAACTCACACCTTCGTAAAATGAATCTCGGCTATTACTGCTCAAATATATATTATCTTATTTCCCACCTACTTTTTCAAACTTCTTACATTCTTCTATTCATTCTCTTCTCATTAGCAACATATCATCGTAGTTCTCTTAAATATGATACCCGTTAATATGAACCAGAGTAAGGTTCAACAACAATAGATAAAGCGACAAGGGTTGGAAATAGAATAATCCGTTAATGCTCGGCAAATGAATAATTTTTATTTCTACGATCCTTAGGAACACAGTACAGTTAGAAAGCATAGTACAAGAACCACATTTCATGTCTCTCTCGTTTTTCGTGGGTTAATTAAAGATCACTCCCTACTTTAGGGGTGCAAAGGGGTAGGGGGCATAAAATATTTACAATATTTTTAGTATTAAGGATTTGATGGATTGTATGGTACGGAGCTTATTATACTTTTCTAATGTTAGCAATATTTTGCTTACAAAAAAAAACAATTACTCAATGAACTAAAATTAGTTGTAAGTAGTATTCCACGAAGTTCGATTCACACAGTTTCCACTATTTATGTTTCACGAGACTACCTACTTTTTGCAATATCCCCACACTTTTTTTTTTTCTCTACTCGATGTGTTGTTCTGTTTTGGAGAAAGAAATTTTCAAAATACAAAGTTTATAGCAAGTCTGTGGAGACCTTTAGGATACAAGCAGGGCACACTTCAAGCACAGGCTTTACTCCTTTCTTCACCAGACACCCTAGGTCATCAGCCCCATCACCAGGGCATTTAGTTCTTCACAAGACAACAACTCGTGCGCTGCCCCCTATTTGCTCGAGGATTAGCCTGCTCGAAACAAGGAGCAACAACCTGTGCCTAATCCATTTGCTAGAGGATAGAGACCTAGAGCAATAAACAAACTTCGTTTTTCCAATTAATTGCTTAATCCACCAATGACTGTGAAGCCCAAAAGAAACGGGGAAAAATTTTAAAAAGGGGAAAAAGCAACGAAAAGCTTGTCATTGTTCAAAACAAAAGGGGGAAAAAAGATGGAAGCTAAAGAAAATAATCAAAGATATAAGTAATATGAAATAGGGGAGTTGTTTACAAACAGTTAAAGTTAAATAGCCCTAACCATCTTACAGCATTTTTATAGTTATTATAATAATAAAATATGGTCAGGATTTATTGGAATCACATCGATAAAACTCACATTTACGTTCCTAATGTATTACAAAAATGCAAACGGATCACACAGAAACGGCAACTGTAGCTTCTTTGAGCGTATTAAGTGATATCCTGTCAATATGCTTGTTCGAAACGTCCATTACTCTCATAAAGAATAGTATTCCAAAAAGGACTTATTTTGAGGATCACACCGTATGAATCCGCAACAGCTGAAGTGGGTTGTGACAAATAATTTGTAGGAAATGTCTGTCACAAAATTTCCATGTATCCTCTGACTTAGCCATGCATACTCTAACAATAACAGCCACACTCTTATCGTCGGTGCAACGAAGTCGTTATTTGACACAGGCCATATTCAAACACTGATCATTAAATGGTACTTATGTAATTGCTGTTTGACGCAGAGTTTAGTAGATTATGTCATGTTTAGTCGATTATGGTAAATCACATAGAGACCATCTGTTAAAGGGAAGGCTATATTATTCTTAAACGACTGGTTCATACTTGCGTTACGTTTGGGTATAACCGTGAAAACGCTCAAAACCGAGAGGAAAAAGTAAAAAAAAAACAGTTATTTTTCTATAAGTAATTAAGTATAATTTTATTAATGTACTATGAATTCTACCGCATCCAGTACTCGAAAGACGTATACCTGTAGACGTGTAACTGGTTTTAAAAACAAAATTAGCGAATCGAAAATTTTCTCATTGTTTAAAATATAACTAATTACACTGGTGTCCAAAATTAAGTTTACAAACACAAGATATGAGTTATCTCGATAACTAACTGGGTTATTACGAAGCAGCCAAAAGTAATATAACAAAATACGCTGAGGGTAAATATTTTGCGATATAAAAATCAAACCAAAAGCGGGAAAAGTCCGAACACGAGAGATCCGGTGACCGTGGTGGCCAAGCTACGAAACCACCTCGACCAATCCATCGCCCTGGAAATTTCGTAGCTCATATAATCAGTCATTGTTTCGACAATCTACAGTAGAAAATGCCGCTGGGTGCGAGGACCGACCCCTTTTATATCATTTACAATGTCACCTAGCAGCTCGCTGTTTGCTTTCCGCCCAGACTTTATATGACGAATATTGCTTGTATAGCTGCATTCTATCACCACGTATAATAAGATAAAAGTCCACTTGACCTGACGTTAGATATAGAATAAAATTTAAGCTCGCTGAATTCTGAATTCAAATTTAATCTCGAGACACTCGTAACCATTTAGTGACTACTACTTGAGATTTCACTTTTCCAGTATCAAAAACACTAATGACTCTACAAGTTTTTATTGCTAAGTTAAAGTTTAAGGTAAATTTTTGACTCCTTTCAAATATCTAGATTTTCTGCTTTTTTCAATAACTAGTGCTGTCTTCTTAATTGTTGGATCCATATTGCACGTTAATAACATAGTAAATTATTCCTTCAATTTATTAAATCAGCTGCTGTTTCATTTTCAAATGGTAATGTGTATTCTGATAATGTTCTGTAACATAGTCCAGTTTCGTTTATATTACAAATTCCGTGTGGCTTGTATTTATTTAGCAGCCCAAGTAAAACGTTTTTTAACCATATTATCAGACGCATCATGATCTATCTACATCTTCCTTTTCACCATGCAGATTCTTATGAACAGGGTTGAATTTCTCTTTCTCTAACTTGTGAGTCTTTGTCACTTCTTACAAAATTCTCTCTTAGCACTTAACTAACTAGTAAAAAAAAACACTTTAGAAAGCGAAACATTTTTTTTTTTTTTTTTTTTTTTAGTTTTATAGCTTGAAACCATTATATAAAAACAGTTTCAACGTCTGTAGAATTTTTGGCCTCTTCGTGCTTCCTTGAGACATTTTGTATTTTTTATTAGTTTCTAATAATTTAGCTGGTCGGTGTATAATCTAAACAAAATGTCAGATACTCTCCACTGACTGTGAGTTTCCAATGCTTTCATACTGAAGAAAGGTTAAGATAAAGCTTACAGTACTATTGTTTACGTAACTAAATTCCGTCAATCAAACTCCAGTTATTGAAACACTATGGCTAATTTAATTTAAATTCTTGCCGATTTTCATATTTGACTTACAGTGTCGTATCGGATTTGGTGTTGAATATTTGAACAAACAGCTAATTCTGTGCGTGTTCTAAGTAATATTTTTATAATTTAGATAGTATCTCCGATCGTAGTCACTTTACACAAAGCCCTGGTTATAGTCAGTTTAATTATGGCTACAAGCATACAGTGTTTAAATCTTTAAATTATAATTAAATGGGAACTTGCATAATTTGTCACACATCTTCCATTTTAATTTGCTTCATAAAATTCTCATTTTATTGCAGGGAAGATTTAGAGGAAGCTAAAGTTACAGGCGATTACACCAGGCTACAAGAATATTATGAATCAACGTTCGGATCATTACTTGACATATGTGCCACTTTCAAGGTGAGTGCATAAAACTGACTAACATGGGCCGTTACTTAGATCTTAGTATGGCATAATGCTTCAAAAAACAACTTACAGGAATGCTACGAAATAATAGTCACGTTAGTACGTAATATACGAGGGAAAGGTTATTCAGTTACAAACTGTAGGTTATATTTGAATTACGTGTTAGTATTTTCCGGATATGTTAATAGGTAGCAGAACCGTAATAGTTCATGGTATTTATTCCGTTAGCTACTAAGTGCCAATTGCACATGCGTAGTTAATTTTCAAAATACCTATGGAATTTGATGACTGTACAAAAGAGCAGCAAACTTGTGTTATCCCCCCCCCTTTTTTGTGAAGGAAGGATTTCGGGCGAAAAATATTCATAAAGGAATGTTTCCTGTTTATGGAAAGATGTGATTGCCGCGTAAAGCCGTGCTGAAATGGGTCGCCAAATTTTCTCAAGATCTCTCCGAATTTCGCGATGAAACCCGAAGTGGAAGTCCTCTTCAAACTGAGACAAATTTAGTAGCTTCCAGGGTGTAGGAACTGATTCGAGAAATGTACTATGCACTATAATAATAACAACAGCACTACTTGTTTGCCCCACTAAAAAAATCTTGGAGGCAAATGCTTTTGCACATGAGGACGATATTCAAAACGAAGGCCAAATGTGGCTGAGGCAGCAATCCAAAGGATTTTATACAGCTTGTATTAAAGCACTGATAAAACAATGGGACAAGTACATAAATAATTATTAAGTTTATCTTGAGAAATAAATGAAGTAGTTTTCAGATGAGTATTTCATTAATTTATTTTATTATTGACTCTCCTTCGTATGATGTTAAACTGAATTAATAAGGCCAGAATTTTAAAAAATATATAAGAATTAACAATATTCTTCTGAGAAACAATAATGTATTCATTGAATGTGGCTGAAATGTTCACGTGTAAATAGAAGCAATTTGAAGTATTTTTCAAATGAATGTCAAATTTGAATATTTTTGGATATTTTGGTCAAAACTTAAAACGTAGCATACTGAAAATTATTTGGAATTTTAAACTTTATACATTTCGGTTATACATTAATTTAAAGAAAGTACCCTATATTACTTAATTTTTAATGCAATTTCTCTTAATTTATGACTCTCTTTACCTTAAAGTGCTTAGTTCACTGATCAGTTTTATTTCATGAAAACACCTGAGTGTTTCCATCATACATTATTCTATAATTTCTTTTCTATGCAGAGTTTTATGTCAACCACCTCAGTAAACAGGCAACAGCTAAGCTAAACTAGGTAAGCGTTGGCTCAAATGGCATATTCGCTTGGATGTTTTGGTTATAGCAAAGCACGCAAGGTTATCTTGCTAAGAGAAGGAATGCCTTCATGGAAGACTTTCTGAAAGAAGTTGACGTTCTTCCACACTACACATGGAGAAAGCTATGAAAATGTCCATACAATCAGCCCATTTGCCTGGAATCTAACCCAGGCAAAACTTCCAGAGTTTAGCGACTTTAATGCTCGGTCGCTTGTGGGCCGAAACGCCATATTCAGATATCATTAAAAACGCAATAAGATCGTACATTTATTCAAGTCACAGCAATTTTTGTGAAGCTGCGCACATGGTTACTCTTACTAGTTTACGATTAGGCCTTTATGCAAACGGCATGGAAAACTTATTTAAAATAATAGTAATTCTCTTGCAAGAAACAGCATACAATATAACTTATAATATCGCGCATTAAAAAATACTTCAAAATCTTGCTCATTTTTTTCAAAATGGAAAAGTTTACGATTTGAAGACAGCCAATCTTTGGAGATTTTTTTTAAAACAAAAATATACCAAATAATTAAAACATTTATACCGAATAATCAGAAGTGGACATTTCTTTAGTATAACAGATTTTTTATTCAAGGTTTACTCCTTAAAGTGTTTAAGAAGTAATTCGCAGAGAAAGCTGTTGTCATCTTTAGTAGCAGGTAAAACACTGAGAGTCACAAAAATAACATACTCACGGCCTTATTCACTGAAGAACTGTGCCAAAATTTTCTGCATATTATGAAATTCTACAGTCCTGTATTCTACAAGCATGAAAACTGTATTTTATGTGATCCTAAAATTCCAATTTCTGTAGTGTTAAGAAGCGTGTAAATCACGAAGAACAGTATCACTTGAAAGGAGAGATGATAAAATGTACGGTAGTGCAGTGTGTGTTTGTCTATCCACTCTTAAAGTTCTTCTATTTCTGACGAAAAATTTATGAGACACACGTATATTCATAGTGCTTTTAACCTATCGTTACCAATATATGAGACTAGAGCTGTCATTTACTCTAGCTTGAGATCTGCATCCCCCCATTCAGCAAAATACCTGTAACACCTGCACAGTTTTTTATCGGAGCTCACAACAAGCCTTTATAGGAGAACACATTCACCGATGTCGTTTGAACTCTACGCAGTTACTGAAAATATTGAAAGCAATAATCATTGAATCAATAGCTTTCAATATCTACTAAATTATACAGCGGTAATGCAAAACTTTAGAGCATATTTTTGAGAAATAAGCCAAAAATTTGAGTTCAAAATTCTGAGTAAAGTAAAGAACATGCCACACAACTGGCGACTAATATTCTCTGAACTCGTTAACCGGCCACCCTGTCTTCGCTCAGCAGTAGAATAGTATATATTTCCTGACGGAAAGATCTATCAATTTTATAGCTGGGTGAATACCTCTTGTCAGTTGTTTTACTTAGCTTCTAAGCGAAAATTCATAAAGGAGCAATTTTTTAAGGAAGAAATTAAACTAATTTACCTCTCTCTTATCTTTTCTCTTTCTTTATCCAACCTTGCAGTGCATAATTCTGTAGCAAAATCTAAGTTTATAACAAAAACCACTGCACAGAAGTAAATGATTTTTTTTTCTTTTGCTACTGTTCAAAATAAAAATTACCTCACGAAAACATTTCTTCCAGATTTTTTTTAAATGTGAATATGCGTGATTCCCACTAGCATTTGTCAAGTACAAACTTTCATGAATGATGACGAAGTGTTATTTTTCCCCATTAAAGAAAAAAAATGAATATTGTGATAAGCCATTATTTGTCGAATGTTACGATGAGGAAGTATTTAATTTGCTCATTATACATATTTTTTTTATGCTGGCGTACAAAGCCTGAAAGCAACACTATTTTAAAGTTCACATACTAGAGCAGGAAAGCATAAGGAGGTGTCCATCAACTTACTAGATCTTCAACAGAAAGCTGTCACATATTCAGATTTTGGAAACAAGACATCAGACGTTATTTCTACAGAATATATATTATAAAAGCAAAAGTTCAGTGAGTTTCGTTCTTCGTTGAAGACAATGAAATGGCCACTATGAAACATTTAGATGATTTAGGACGAAGGAATTACGCTGTCCGAGAAGCACGGCTGGCGGGTTCGATATTGCCTTTAACATTGCATTGGGGAGGAGGGCAGCTTTCGCAACGAAAGTTGAAGTTAATCATAGAACTGGTCGTGGTCGCCCATGAATAACAGTTTCTAGTAATGACCTTGTTGTAAAGTGAAATACATATCACAGTGAAAGATGCGAAACGCAACAGGCAAATTTCCTAGCAACGCGAAAATCTAAAACCAATTTCAAAGGCAAACAGTCCTCAGAGATAAATGCTCGAGTATATCGTAACCTTTTCAGACTTCCTACCTAGTTTGCTCTTTTGCATTAAGAGACCGCACACGCGATCTTCAGTTAGCTCTTGTGCTCATCTAGCTGCTATTCTTTACCGTTGGTTACGAGTGTCAGAATCACAGTGTATCGAGAATCATAGAGGATTTCAACAGACTGTTGGATGAAGGATAGTGATCATAGGACATACGATATACTCGCAAGCTGTTCTTTCAACAAGAGCTTTCATCTCTTTTGTTCTGACTTGAATTTCAGATTTTTTTTTTCTAATTATTTTCTAATTCTTCTCACAATTATTAGATCATCTTTCATGGGTAAACAATTTTAATTCTGTCTTCACTAGAATTCACATTAATAAAATTTTTCTCAACAACATAAAATTCAATATTATTTCCTCAGTATCCACACATAGCGTCCATCAATAGATGAGACTATGTAGAACTATGCAGTCTCATAGAGACCCGAAGCTCTAGATGCTCCTTAGACGTTCTACTGAACTAGATATATTTATTTAAGCTTTTAACTAAAAAGGGAAATACAAAATCGATGGTAAGTTTTGTTTTCGTAAAAGCATGTATAATAAAACCTCGTTAAGTTGTGGAGTGAGAGATTATGTCGATATACGCGGATGTCTACTTATCGACGTAAAAGGAAACTAAAAGAGAAACCATGTAACAATTTAGAAATTATTTTATAAATGAAATTTTGAAAGAACGAAAATATAGTTATTTCTTACATTAATCTATAAAACTTTAAGCCCCTTTCCCTTTACGTTAAATAGCATAGTTAGTTATCACTTAACTGTTATAAAGCGTTTTACAAAAATTCTTTTGGAATGCTTTTGTAGCGGTCCTGAACTATAATTCGATTTTGTCTTTGCATTGCATATAAACTTTCTTCCGCATTGCTCAAATTTTTATGACTATTTTTGTACTATCTTGAGCTAGGAGAAATCTACGAATTTGTCCCATGAGCTGTAAATCGTTTTTTTTTTGGACAGAATTGCCAAGTCCATCTTCTGAAAAATCTTCATCAGGAGTGTTTGCTCATGCAGGAGGCTGTATTGCATAAAACACCTCTTCTCCATTTTCTATATCTGAAATAGTAAACTATTATATTTTGCCAGATATTGCTTATATTCTGAATCCTATCTCTGCAAATTAATATCAGCCACTACCTTTTATTGGAAAACATTGGGTAAAGGAAAGTTTGCCAAAAGAAAGATGACGTTTTGTAGGGTTTCCTTTAGTTCAAATCAATTATTCAAATTTTTGTTATCTTTCCTGAACTCCTCAACTTTTCCTCACCCTTCCTCGCGACGATGC